GAAATCCTAATCAAGCTCTTCCACAGCATACACGGTGACCCTATAACTTATTCCTCCCTGTGAGTGCCTTTCCTGCTTCTGAAATATCCAGGTTATTATTTGCTCAGCAAATGTACCAAGCCCAGCTTTGTACACCAATGGTCTCCAGGGTTCCAGTTTCAACAGAAGGCAACAAGTATGACTATACAATTTTAATGAAGAAATCAAAGTCAGTGAGGGGGCTGGGGATTTAGCTCAGCGGCAAAGAGCCTGCCTGGCAAGCGCAAGGTCGTGAGTTCGGTTCCTGGTACCGGAGAAAAACCAAAAAAAAAAAAAAAAACAAAGTCAGTGAGGCTGACCAGAGCCCAAAGGCCACTTCTTTCATACAGTGCCCCATCAGTCCCTGCCTCTGGTGCTGGGGATGAGACTCAGGGCCTCACACATGCTAGGCAAGCACTCTAACACTGAGCCACATTCCACCAACTTTTTAGCTTTGTGAGAGGATCACCTGAGATTTAAGAAAAATGAGCAAAGAAACCCATAAGCAGCAGAGCTAATTCCACAAAGACTTAAAATTGCAATTTATATCCTCAGAAATGTAAGCTACTTACATATATGAAATACACAAATATGAAATAAAAGGTAGAGACACTTCAAATGCTGACTGAAATTTAAAAAGCTGAAAAATAAATTTAATGAAGTCCCCTCAAAAAAGGTAAGATGATGAAATGAGGAATCAGAAAAAGGAAAAAAAGCAAAGAAATCAAGCCAGGGAGCCTCACATCCAAACAAGTATTACCGAGGAGAGAGAACAGATGATCAAACAGCAAAGCAAAATTCCACATCCCACGAAGTACAGCCAGACTGAAAACTAAAGCAATACATGAAATACACCTATATTAATACACGTTATTATACAGTTCCACAACACGAAGACAATTTTAAAATTTTCAGAAAAAGAAAGAAATCATTAGGCACCCAGAAACATATAAAAATGGCATCCAACTTCCCTAAATAGCAACAATGGAACCTCAAAGCCAAGGAACACAGCAATGTCTTGAAAATTGCAGTTGAAAAATACTTCCATTGTTCAACCCAGCTATTCCCCTTCTGGGTATTTTCCCAGAAGATCTGAAATCATATCACACAGATATATGTGCACCTTTGTTTATAGCACCACAATTTGTAACAGCTAAATCATGGAAGCAAGCCAAATGTCCACCCACTGAGGAATGGATAAAAAAGTTGTGGCATTTTTATACAATGGAATATTACTCAGCTATAAAGAAAGATAAACTCGAGGCTTTTATAGGTAAATGGTCACAACTAGAGACCATACTCATAAGTGAAATAAATCAGACCCACATGTGTAAACAACGTATTGTCACACTAGTGTAAGAATCTAAAAGAGTGAGTAAAATTAGGAGGTATGATACACATTGTGAAACAAAAGGAAACTGCTCAAAAGTAAAGAGCGACTAGGATGAGGGAAAAGAGAAAAGAAAGAAGAGGGAAATTATGTATATACAGGATAGCTAACATAGTTGTACTACTGACTTCTAGCTGTACTGAAAGGAACAGTTAATGATTAATTATTTGATCAATCTTACATGTCTATATTTGTTTTCCTGAGTAAGCACGTTGAAGAAATCAGTATGTAACACAATAACCGTTGTTAATTTCCTATCACCTTGTCTGAATTTCAGTATGGAAAACATACTGTTTTCGTATTTTTCTTATGTTATTTTGTAAATGTATTATGTTTGTTAATATGTTTTCACTCTTTTATTTTTAAAATTTTAAAAAAGGAAGAAAAAGAAAAATCCTTCCTAGACTCTTACCCAAGCAAAGATTTTAGCATGAGGGTAGAACAGACACAAGGTCAATGCAAACAGTTATATCTCTTATGTGTGTTTGTGAAAACCTGTTATTATGGACTGTTTCAAGCATACACAGAGCACAGAAATGAGTCAACATACATCTGACTTAACAATCTACTCATCTACTACCTATTCTAACTTCTTAAACAAGAATACGGGCCAGGGATATAGCTCAGTGACATAGCAACTGTCTGGCAAGCATGAGGTCCAGAGCTCGATTCCCCATACCAAAAAAGAAAAAAATGAACGTGCTTCCCCTAGATAAAAATACACACCAAGGAAATTACATGCAGGAAACAACCAAGGAAAACATCCAGGAAACAAGGAGAACCCAATGGAAGTATGAGGAAAAAGGATTCCTAGCATGGCAGTGTTGTATCAGGCCTACAGAGCAATCAACACAAACTAGAGAACAAAAGCAACACTAAAAACGTGAAGTAAGTTGGGTGTGGTGGCACAGGCCTATAATCCCAGCACTCAGGATGAAGAGACAGAAGGATCACTGTGAGTTTAAGGCCAGCCTGGGCTACATAATGAGTTCAAGCTCACCCTGGACTACATAATGAAACTCTGCCTCAAAAAATAAATACATTAAAAAAATATATAAAAACATGAAATAGATTATCACATTTGACTGTGCAAAAAATTAAAAGAAGTTTTACAGTTATTGGAGTGCTTAAAATTTCAAATTTCTAAGATATTTAAGCACATAAAACAAAAATCAATCAAGCTCCAGAAAAAAAACACTGCACCAAAAACAGTAACTACACTGCATTATTTGACTCAACAATGTTTTACAACTTTTTTTTTGGTCATTTTTAGGCAGGGTCTCATTATACAGTTCAGACTGGCCTTAAATTCACTTTATAGCCCAAACTGGCCTCGATCTTGCAGAAATCCTCCTCCCTCAGCCTACCTACTGCTGGGATTACAGGCATGTGCCACCACACTCAGCTTGTTTTACATTATTATAGTCAAAAATATTAGGAGGTTAGCAGAGAGGAGGATGCCATGTTAGAGCCTCAACAGAAGACAATACAAAATATCTAATATGGTAGATCAAGACAAACATGTACACTCTTTTTTCGAATTTCCAAAGTAAAAATCAGAATGAATATCCACTCTTTTTGTTTTAAATCTGTTAACACAACCTAACATCTCCAACTACACATTTTTATAATGATAAAAATTGAATCATGTTTTCTAAAAGAAAAAACTTAAAATATATAATGGCAAGAATATTTTTAAATCATGGGTATCAGATATATGTTATCTATTACTACCACTTCCTATATCTACCCATACATATATTTTAAAAAATGAGAAATAACTGCAATCTTTGGCAAACCACAACCTTTCGCAAATCTTTCCCTATTAACAACAGTGGAAAGTACACAACTTTGTCATATAACAATACTTGCTGAACTGGGGATGTAGTCCAGTGAGGCAGTGCTTACTCAAAGACCTGGGTTTAATCCCCAGCACAGCCCAAGAAAGAAAAAGTACTTATTACTCAATGTCTTTTGGCATATAAAAACTTTGACCTCAGCCACCAATCAAGTTCCAGTGTAATCATACAGATTAACCACAATTATTTTCAAAACAGGAATCCCCAGTTGGAAGTGATAAAGAGAATATAAAATTTTAATTTTCCAAGTTTGATTACTCACATGGTATCAAACATGGTGGCTGTGGTAGGCAGTGGAAGTTGCCTAACCGATCTATTTATCTATAAAAGTTTTAATACGTAACTATAAACCCTTTGACACACTTCAGCCTTCCAGAAAGCATCAAGTCCATGTTTCTTCCCTTGAACTTTGGTGGCCCTTAGAAATGGCCATAGGGAACTGAATGCTACAGCAGGGAGCCTATGTATGTTCCTTGTACTCTGGATGCCTTCGTGTAGTAAGTGTAGCTCCTCAAAGGCCTCTTCACGTAAGAAGACAGATGTCTAAGAAAGCCCAGCTGTTAAAGACCCCCAGGGCCCAGTCAGCACAGGACCTAGATATGCAAGTCTTTTGAGATAACCCTGCCCATGGGCACAGGTAAGCCACCATATCAACTCTGAAATGCCTACCTGGGCTTTCTGTTGCATGAGATCAATTAACCTTCTACTGAGTGAATTTTACTTATAAATGGACATACCCGCTACAGACACAAAAATTTAAAAACCAACAGAACACTGGTCTGTTAAAGAATGAAAAAAAAAAAAAATTTCATTACCAATATTGATGAAGATACTATATCAGCAATGTTCCTAAAACAGGGCATATCATTTAAACACTGACAAATATACTTTTGGTATTCCTCCCCACTTCCAGATACATAGCTCTTAGAACCCAGGAAATCTCTAAAGGTGGTATGTGGTGTCTTCTGTACATTAAGGAGATGAATGTGCCTAATAAAACCTTTTTGTGCCACTCAAAAACAAAAATAGGACAGCTGAGTCACCAGAAAAACCAAGGTAGAATTCAGGAGCTTAAAATTTCAACCTCACTTCAGGGCCTCTTGTACAAAGAACTCTACAATACTATAAAAATTTTCTAAATCACACAACAATAAAAACAAACATCAAAAACACTGCCAGCAAGATTCTCAGATTCACTTCTCAAAGAATCTTAACATTCTATCAGACATTTTTCAACGTTCAGATGCACATGTGAAAAAACTCAGACTTTACTATAATTCTCTTAGACAGGTATGTACAATTCTGTTGCTAAATTTACCAGATATCTATTACTTGTCAAGTTATACAGAAAAAAATTTAGTACAATCTTCCTGTTTCAAGAAATTAAAGCTGTTCTTTCAAATGTGTATGTACGTAACATGCTGGAAATCACAAAGCTTCAAGAACAGCATACAAACATGTGAAAGTATTCCTCAATTTTATACTTGTTTTAAAAAGTTTATTGTGATAGCTGAGTATGACTATGCACACTGTTAATTCCAGCTACTTGGGAGGCTAAGAGACAGAGGGATTCCAACTTCCAAGGGCAGCTGGGGCAACTTAGCAACACCCTGTTGCAAAAAGTAAAAAGGCTTAGGGATGTAACTCAGTGCAAAGATCCTGAGTTTGATCCTAGAAGGGGAAAAAAAAAAAAGTTTATTACATCAATGTGTGTACAGTGCCACACTACTTACCTGCATCAGCTCTGGACCGCTGGCCAGGTGACTTTCCGAATGGGGTCTTCATTCATCTGTATTTATGTGAGCAGCAGAGCTGCTGGACTAGGGTGAAAATTCAGTATGCTCCAATTTGACAATTTCCACAGAACATTAGTGTTCTTGTTAATCCACCATCCAAGTGTCTCTTTTACAAACTCAGCAAAACCATGTGGAAGCACATGCACTCTGTAAAACAGTGAAATAGTTCATTGCTAGAGCATCAAAATAACAAAATTCCCAGTACATCACCGAATAGAACTTAAACACAAGTATCAGCTAAAAAGCAGAAGGGGAAAAAAGAGGTGATGTGTCAAACCCTAAAGAAGTCTGGACATGGGGCATCACAATCTCCAATCTGAAGTTACACTATAAAGCTATCATGATAGGGCTGGGGATTTAGCTCAGCGGCAAAGCGCCTGCCTGGCAAGCGCAAGGTCGCGAGTTCGGTTCCTGGTACCGGAGAAAAACCAAAAAATAAAAAAAAATAAAAAAAGCTATCATGATAAAACCAGCATGGTAGTGGCAAAAAAAAAAAAAAAAAAACCACAGACCCAATAATCAATGGAAAAGAACAGAAGATGCAGGAACAACCCCCAAAGCATACTTAGCCACCTTATCTTTGATAAAGGCGCCAAACACCTGCACTGGAAGATAACCTCTTTAACAAATGGTGCTGGCTTTATACATGCACCACCATCAGAAGATTAAACCTTGACCCATATCTCTCACCACACACTAAACTGAAATGGAAATGTGGGGGCTGGGGATTTAGCTCAGCGGCAAAAGTGCCTGCCTGGCAAGCGCAAGGTCGTGAGTTCGGTTCCCGGTACGGGAGAAAAACCAAAAAAAAAGAAAATAAATAAAATAAAATAAAATGGACATGTATCAAAATCTAAATATAAACTGGGATATGGGAAAAGAGAAGGGAAAGGAGAAAGTTTGTATATATGTATATGCAGGATAGTTAACACGGGTGTTCTACTGTTCAGTATTTCCTTGCTGAAAGCAACTGTCAGTGAGGCATTGGTTGATTAGCTTTGTATGCCTGTATGTGTTTTCATGAGAAACTACATTGAAGATATCAATATGTAATACAATAAGCATTGTTAATTCCCTACCACTCTGTTTGTAACTCTGTAATGTCTGTACTGATCCTATGCTATTTTGTAAAATGTTGTCGGTCTGTTAGTATTTTCCTCCTTTTATTTCTAAAATTAAAAAAATAAAAAATAAAAAATAAACCAAAATCTAAATATAAAAACAGAAACACTAAACCTGCTGGAAGACACAGGGTAGGCAAGGACTTTATGAACAAAACCCCCATCACACAGGAACTATTACAAAGAACCAACAATTGGGATCACATCTTCTTAAAAAGCTGCACAGCAAAGCCAGGCGTGGTGGCACACACCTGTAATCCCAGCACTCGGGAGGCTGAGGCAGGAGGATCTTTGTGAGTTCAAGACCAGCCTGGGTTACAAAGTGAGCTCAAGGCCAGCCTCAACTACACAGCAAGACCCTGTCTCAAAAAGACCAAAAACCAAAACAAAAGTAAAAAGCTGCACAGCAAAAGAAACCAACAACAGTTAAGCAACAACCCCCAGAATGGAAAAAAAGTTTTTACCAGCTACTCCTCAAAGGACTAACATCTAGAATATTTAAAGAACTCAAAAAATCAGACCCCCAAATTTAAAGACCTAATCCAAAAATGAGCATCTGAAATGAATAGATACTTCTCAGATGAAGAAGTACAAGCAGCAAATAAATATATGAAAATATGCTCAACATCACTGGTCACTTGAGAAATGCAAATTAAAACACCAAAATTCCATCCCACTCCAGAGAGAATGGCTATCATCAAAAAATGAACCAGTAACAAATGCTGGCAAGGCTGTGAGGAAAAAGGAATACTTCTCCATTGCTGGTAGGAAGGTAAATGGTACAACTACTATGGAAATCAGTACAAAGATTTTGTAAAAACTAAAACTAGAGGTTCCATTTGACCTAGCTATTCCTAAGAGGGGTCCTAGGTATCTTCCTCAAAGAGTTAAAACCATCATATCACAGTGATACATGCATGCCAATGTTTACAGCAGCACAATTTGTAATAGCTAAATCTTGAAAACATCGTATATGCCCACCAAAAAATGAATGGATAAAGAAAATGTGGTCTTTATATAGAATGGAGTATTACTTTGTTATAAAGGATAAACTTGAGTCATTTGTAGGAAAATGGATGCAGCCCAAGACCATAATCTTAAGTGAAATAAATCAGACATACAAGTTTAAAGATCACATTGTTTCTCTTGTGTGAGGAACTAAAGGGGTACTAAATGAGCATAAAGGAGGACAGATATAGGGAAATTGGAAGAAAATGTTAAAATGGGAAGGGGGAGGGAAGAAGGAAAAAATAGAAGAGAAAAATGGAAACAAAGCTTGTGTAAATGGAAAGGGGAAGAAGGGCTGCAGAGAGGGGAGGTGAATGGAGAGAAACAGCATTAAGATACATTATGCACAGGTACAAATTCCCTATGATGACTATGATCAATATGTATGACAAATATATACAAATAAAAAATAAAGTGGGGAAAGAAAAAAAGCAGAAACCCAGGACCACTGTAAGTCCTAAATGTAAATACTCTTGAGATCAGTTGAAACACTTCTGCACTGTGTGCTAATGCATTCTGCTGCTAGAAATCAGAAAAGGGCACATGATAGGACTTCAGAAAAGGTTTAGTTAGACTGGCATGATCCATCTTCCTGGTGGGACACAAAGAACCAGAATATGGGTGGGCAGCAGGAGGTTCATGGTCACTGGAACAGAGCTGGGTAGAAGATGAGAAGCCAGCAGTCCTGAGCAGGAGAAATGATTATGCCCAACAACTCTGCTTATCTGTTCCTGCTTCCAAAAACTAGAGAAAAGGGTCTAATGACTCTGGAGGAACTTAAACTTCCTCATCCAAAAACATATTAAGTCATTTTATTGAAATAGCTTTACCATTCAAATCAAATTTGATTCCAGGAATTTGTAGTTCACACAGTGAAACATTTTCATATTCTCATAAAACATGAAAAAACTATCCTTCTCTGATGACATTTAGTTCTCCTAAATTAATATTTATAATTTATGTCCACTGTTCACAGGTTTAAAAACATGATAGATATGCTTAATTATCTAATTACTACAATATAACAAAATTATTAAAATAATCAAGAGGTTTCATAAAGAAGGTAGGAATAAGCTGAAGGTCAAAATTCTAAACCAGCAGGGTACCATGGCATGTGCCTGTGATCCCAGAAACTTGGGAGGCTGAGGTGGTAAGATCGCTTGGAGTTGGAGGCTAGCTAGGGCAACACATAGCAAAATTCCACCCACCAGCATAAAAAAAATTAACTACATAAACTTTCTTTATGATTCAAAGAACACAGATTAAAATTCAATGATTTTAGTGGGGTGTGGTGGCCACAGCTATAATCCCAGCACTCAGAGGCTGAGGCGAAAGGACTGCTGGTGTTTAAGGCCAGCCTGTGTTACAAGGTGAGCTCAAAGTCACCCTAAACTACACAATGAGACACTGTCTCAAAGGAAAAAAAAAAAAAATCAGTAATTTTATAATTAGTTCATCCAGCAACTATTCACTATGTGCTTACTTTTGGAAGTTCAAAGTGGAGGGTAGAAAATAAACAGGTAAGTAAACTAAATAGTACTGTCTAATGGCAATAAACTAACACTGAAAAAAGCCTGAGACCCATTCTGGGGCTAAGGTTCCCCTAGAAGGCTTAAGGGAGGTCTCCAGTGTGTCAGATGGGTTCACTAAGAACTATATTCACCCACCTCACCAGGCCTATGATGAAGACTATCCCCCCAGAAGCCTCACATCACTCATTTACCTTATTCAGCCGCAGAAACTGCGCTTCCCTCACTCAACTCTCTTCCCACCTTAAGCATATTCCCATCCCCATTCACAGCTCCCTCCCAAAGTTGAAGGCTTCCATTTCTCACTGCACAACCTTACCCAAGTTCTCCAATGCAGAATTTCCCCTTGGAAACCATGCCATATACTAGTTCTAACAGCTATACCTTTTTGACAGACTTTTAATCTTCTAGTCATCTGCACACACTTATTGAAGACATTGGTTTACTTCCTTTCCCAAGATTCCCATCAGCATTCTTGGCAACCCTAACATATGTACATTTGATCTTTTCAACACATATTCCTGGGCTGTTGGACATCTCTGCTTTAAACTACCTAGCATAGTTGAGCCACCTATTTTCTAGTACAGCCCAGACCTTTTAATCACCAATACATATCTCCAGAGTTTATTTCAAGCACATTTTGCTCAAAACCACCACCTCTATTTCAGATTTTTCTTTTCTTTTCTAAGACAAGGTCTTACTACATAGTTCAGACTGGTTCTGAACTCACTATATGTATCCCAGGCTGGCCTTTAACTTGGGGTGATCCTCCTGCCTCAGCCTCCCAAATGCTAGGATTACAGACCTGTACACTACCACACCCAGCTGTATTCTAGATTTCTTACATTAAACACTCTTGCTACATTAATTCTTCAATGCAGTTAATAAGAGAAGAATTTTGACAAGTCCTCAATTAAGTTACAGGCCAGTAGACGGAAGAGATAAGAGGAGTTTTACACTGGCAGCTTTAGGCTAAACCAATAAAAGGAAAAACCCTGCTCACTTTCCCTTGTATGCTGGAGACTAGCCGTTAGGGCAACTTTGCAATTTGCTTACAGGCCTAACCAACCCAAAAGCAACAAGCAGTTCTCCTTATCAATGCTCCTACTATCCCAGGACTTTTTCCACTTCATGTTGGCCAGCCCCTCAAATACCTTCGCTTCTTAGATCTGGCAGATGTTTTTTTCCAACTGCTATTTGGCTGTGATGCTGACAGCTGGGAGAATTTGCCCCAGAACCACCTCTTTATTTGCGGCCAACATCTCTGAGAGCTTAACAAACATATTTATTTCAGAGATCTCTTGGTTTCTAAATTCAGACTAGCACAATCTATGGCTTTCCCATTTTTTCATTATCCCACTGTCTCTAACTGCCCTAGACTAGGGATGGTCCATCACAATCACATTATTCCCTCCTGTGCTCAACTTTCCCCGTGGTTCTCAGTTATGGTCCTATGCAAAGCCCTGACCCAGCTCCCTTTCTTCTATGCTTACAGCTAAAGCACTCAACATGGATCAGAAATGCAGAAAATTTCATTCCAAATTCATCATCTTGAATTTTAAGTGTACATTCAGCAATGCTACCCATATCCCCCCATCAGACAGGTTCACTTAGAAAACAAATCTACTTACCAACTTACCAAAGTTACCATGTGATGGGTGCTCTTTGCTCCTGTAAAAACAGATGAACTGTCCTGAGCTATTAAGTCCAACCATGTCACTTGCACAGTCATCAGCATTCAATGATTTAAGTTACTCCCAAACTTAAAAAGAAACACACAACCCCTAGCTCTTTGCTCTTTACAAAACTACTCCAAATATTACAGAAATTTAAAATCTATACAAATATTAACTTATCCTAGGAAACTTATTCTATAAGGAAGTTTTAGTTTACTAATGTTCTAAAGTGCATTCTTCTTGCTAGCAGGTTTTAGCTCATCTCTGCAATATTTTCTATTGCTTTCCACTTCATTAAAAGGTTCAAGTTGAACTTGCTGACAAACTTTTTTTTATAAATTATGTTTACTGGTACATTTTAGGTATACATAATGATCACGTTCAACTTAGGGAATTTGTACCTGTACAGGACACAACTTGATTCCTTTTTTTTCCCATTCCCCTAACCTCTCCCTTCAACTCCTCTTTCCCTCCTTATTTACAAATACTTTGTTTCCATTTTTCCTTTTCTCATTTTTTTTCCTTTCCTTTCCTTCCTTTCCCCCTTCCCCCATCCCTAAGTTCCCCTTCCCATTTGAACATTTTCTTCCTCACACCAGAGAAACAATGTGGTGTTTATTTAGGTGTGTCCAGTTTATTTCACTTAAGAATGTCTTCAAGGTGCATCCATTTTTGCTAACAAACTTAAAAGACAGTAGTTAAAGGAAAAGTTGCTGCAGGAGAAGGAAATACAGTAATTTTGGGGTAGGGGGAGTTTTGAGAGAGGGTCTCACTGTGTAGTTTAGACTGGCCTCACTTGTAGCAATCCTGCCTTAGCCTCCCAGATGCTGTGATTACAGGCCCGCACTACCATACCTCTTTAACTTGTTCTATTAAGTAGTTAATAGAACAGTAAATAAGAATAACAAGGAAAATGTTAAAAAGATTTTAAATGCTAATAGCAAAATTTCACTGTTTCGAGAATTGATACAAGTTTTTTTCAACTGTTATGAGAAACGTCAAGTAGAACTTAGTTACAAGGCCATAAGAAAGAGAGACCTGGGACTGGGGTGTGTGTATCTCAGTGGCAGAGAGGTACTTAGCATATTAAGTCCTGGATTCAAAAGACAGAGAGAATGCTGGGGAAGGGAGAGACACGACTGACCTATGTTCAGAATGACCCTTCAGTACAGGGAGATAAACAACTCTGCACCCTGAACAGTGAATCAACTGCACTTTATCCAGTTCTTGATGTGACACAAAGTACCTTATCATTTACAGAATATTGTCAGAAATATTTTACTTAAACCTAGTCAAGAAAGACCTAAGTGGAGGTTGGAGCTCTTTTTTCATGGCACCTGGAGGACAATCCACAGCTTCAAGATAAAGCTGAACATCTCCTTCCGAGCAACTGGCTGCCAGAAACTCATTGAAGTGTACAATGCATACAAACTCTGCACTTTCTATAAGAAGCGTATGGCCACAGAAGATGAATAACTGAAGGGTTATATGGTCTCAAACAGTGGTGGGAATCACAAGGCTTCCCCATGAAGCAGGGTGTCCTGACCTGTGGCCAAGCGTGCCTGTTGCTGAGTAAGGGGCATTCCATTATAGACCAAGGAGAACCGGGGAAAGCACACATCTGTTCAGGCTTGCACTGAAGATAGCAATCTGAGGGTTGTCCACTCTGTTATTGTTTAAAAAAAAAACCAAGAAAGGAGAGAAGGATATTCCTGGATTGGCTGACACTGCTCTTCCTCACCACCTTGGGCCCAAAAGAGTTAGCAAAATCTACAAACTTTTCAATCTCTCTAAAGAGGAGATATACCAATGTGCTGTCAAAAAGCCCTTAAACAAAGAAGGTAACCCAGGGCCAAAGCACCAAAGGTTTATCACATTCCTATAACACAAACACTGCCATATTGCTCTGAAGAAACAGGGTACTAAAAAAAATCAAAAGAATGCTTAAGTAACAAATAAGATCTGACTTAAAAAATAAAATAAAATAAAATAAAGCCAGGCGTGGTGGCAAACACCTGTAATCCCAGCACTCAGGAGGCTGAGGCAGGAGGATCATTTCGAGTTCAAGACCAGCCTGGGCTACAAAGTGAGCTCAAGGCCAGCCTGAACT